CGCTTTACGAATATAGAGAAAACTCCTGGGAAGCCCCATGGGGAAACAAGGCAGTCCCCATGCTGGAAGGATTTTTCTTCTTTGGCTCCGTAGCACTGCTCTTCCCAGCACCTGAAGTCACAGTTCCCCCTCGTCCCTCCATGAAGCCTGCAAATAGGCATTCTCCAGACCTCATCATGCACTGAAACTCAGTTGAAGATCTTTGGATAATTTAAACAGAGACATCTTTTATGGGAGTTAATATGCAACAGAAAGCAAGCCATGCATGCAGATGTGTTTTAGCCAGGCTCTCCCACCTTGTCCTGGTCCGGGCTGTCTGCCTTGCAGACAGCACCCTCAGCCAGCCACCCTGTCTACAGGCAGCAGGAACTGCCAAGATGTGCAGTGGCTACATTCCATCAGATGCTACTCTTCATGGACTAGAAAACCTAGGAAGGCAAAGGCTCCCCACCCCTTAAATGCCTGTGTATCCCATCTACAGTGAGCGCAGTCCCTGGACATGCTGCAGGGGGTAGTCTAGGCTGTTCCCAAAAGTGAGTTCAAATTGGACATCTCTGTTTTGTGGAGATGGGCATTTGTGAGCTGTGCTATGGGGACCAGAGAATGACACAATTTATTAATTGTGTTTATTTATTCATTATTTTCCTTTTTTAATACCAATGTAGGTATAGGGACTAGAAGAGCCCTGTGAGGTCATTTCAAAACAGGCTGCCTGCATCTGGGATGGAGCAATTTGTGCAGGCAAGAGAGGAGACTTCATAAACTACAGATCTTGGAGGTTTTGTGCTGACAAAGAAAGAGGTAGACAGATCCCACTGCTGTTGCTGTGGGAGCAAGGAATGCAGCACGGCTGGATTATTTGGGGGAGACTGGGTAGAATTTTCCTAAGAGTTAGGCAGTATAACACGCCAGGACAGCAGATGACTGGAGGCAAACGATTCATTGTGCTAAGTACCGTAAAGCCAAGAAAACAGATGTCCTGGCTGGACTGAGGACAGAACAACACATTGTATTAGATAGATATATCAATAGGATAATGAATATTTTGTTCAGATTATTGTAAAGTTGCTTTTTTATTTTACATCCTAAAACATTATAACTAGATAAATCATGAAAACCTCTAGTAATAGTTACCAAAGTCCTTTCTGAGACTGAAACATTAACAGCATGAAAAGAAAATGTTTAGTCTAAATATAGTGAGATTATTAGCCAGTCCTGTAAAGCTGATTTATACCCACACATTTCCATTGATACCAGTGGGAAAGAATGGATTTGAGTAAATCAAATATGTGGCCCTGTGGTTTTTTATTGATGTGCAAAACAAAAGGCTAAATTTAAAGTTAATACTGACTGAAAGAAGAGTCTATTTTCTATTGTTACATGTAGAGAAAGTGCCATATCCCTAGGGAAGGAATGTAATATTTGTGCTGATGATTTTACTCCAAAGCCTGATGGGCCTGCTATGCACATGGATGTAGTGTGGCCCGGCAAGCTTCCAGCCCCACTAAAGATTATGAGGTTGCATGTGCCCTCTGCTAAACATCACCTCGTTGGCACAGAAGAGTTTTGTGAAGAGGCAGCTGTAGGTGTCCTCCAAGCCGCGGAGAGCAAGGCAGCGATTTGTAGGGCAAACAAAGCTGTGTAGACATGGCCTAGGTCTCCTTCAGGTAGCCAGTAAGGGGTCTGCTTGGCTCCTACAACAGGAAGGGTTAGTGAGACTCTGTGGGGACATTCAAATCTGCATTCTTCTGGAAAGTATTCAAGATACACACAAGCATTAGCTGCAACCCAAATGTCATTCACCCATTAAAAATTAGAGAAAGTATTTTCTCTAGGTGTTTTCCCAAAGAATCCCAGTCGACCAAGAAGGCAGTGGAATCCTGGCTTGTATCAGCAATAGTGTGGCTGGCAGGACCAGGGCAGTGACTGTCCCTCTGTAGTTGGCACTGATGAGGCCACACCTTGTGTCCTGCATTCAGTTTTGGGCCTCTCACCACATAAAAGACATTGAGGTGCTGAGGCGTGTCCAGAGAAGGGTCTGGAGCACAAATCTGATGAGGAGTGGCTGAAGGAGCTGTGGGAGTTTAATCTGGAGAAAAGGAGGCTCAGGGAAGACCTTATTAACCTCTACAACTATCTGAAAGGAGGTTGTAGCCAGGTGGAGGGTCTGTCTCTTCTTCTAGGTAACAAGTGATGGGACAAGAGGAAATGGCCTCAAGTTAGGCCAGAAGAGGGTCTAATTGGAAAACCAGGTTGCTCAGGGAAGTGTCTGAGTCATATCCCTGGAGCTTTTTAAAAGATGTGTAGATGTGGCACTTATAGTCTTGGTCAAGTAGTGGACTTGACAGTGCTGAGTTAATGGTTTGACTTGATGATCTCAAAGGTCTTTTTCAACCAAAACAATTCTGTGATTCTATGGCTCTATTTACATCCTACCAAATACCTGGAAATCTACCTTTTTGTGGTACCATCATATGCTTAAGTCCTTTGTTCCAGAACCTTCTCTACTACTGTAGTGCTCAGCTCTTCCAATCAAGGTACAGATCTCTCCTGGATAGGCCACCAAAGCCTTCTTTTACTCCTTTGAAACTATCAAGCAGTGTCAGAGCGGTGGCACACTAAAGGTTTTGGTCACATATGTAAAGCTTTTGAGGTAGTTTTCTAAGTAAAAAGCCATTGTGAATTGGTCTGAGTTATCCACTTTAGACTATGCCTGTCACTTGTGTGCTTGCCTTTGACTTTCCCTAAGGAAAGAAGTACATACACCCCCACACCCTCCTTATTTTTAAGTAGCAAGCAACCACAATGCTCCTCATGTTGTGAGCATTATTGCTACCACATGTTCTAATGAGAGCACAAGAAAGAAATGCAAGCCTGTGAAGCTTGCTTTTGTCCTGCGTAGATAGCTACTTTAATGGCACAGCACATCCTGACTCTAGTCTTCTCTGCTCTGCTCACACTGATACATTCCTGCATAACTGGTAGATCCGTCTGAACATGGGATGATGGCTGTGCTCTTTCTCTGGTCAAAAGCTGGAGTCAAAATAATATAGTGATAGCAATCTTAAAAAGTAAAAATAAAAGGAAGAAGTGTAGATGATCAATTTTTGGGAGGGTGTGTACGGGAATGATAGTTAAAGAAGACTGCGAATTAATCACTCTCCATAATATTCCTGAAAGTATCTTACCAAGGCATTAATTATAATCTTTACAAGTTGAACAACAACTGCAGCATGAATTTGACGTTGCACCTCCAAAGGAGCAGCCCATTCTGGGAGTTAAAGATCCCTCTGCTTATCCTTTCTGTGAAATTTTGCTCCATTTCATCCACGCAGTGCACTATATACTCCGCTGGAAAAAAAAAGTAAAATAAGAGGGAGGAAAAAATGTCACTGTTAGTATCAGGGGTTGTTTTTTTCACTTGAAAAGGAATCTTTGCCCCTTTCATGACTTAATATGTTTTATGAATCCCGCCCTCTTGACAGACCATTCAGGCTTCAAAAAAGGAGCTGCAGATCTTAACGGAACAAGGACAACTTGCCTAAAGCCTTCCCTGTCCAGGAGAAGCCTGTCACTTGTGACTGCCTCAAGGTATTGGGTTAACTGCTATCTCGTTATTATTGTCAACTGCACTGTCTGATAATCAGACCAGTTGAGATAAGCCAGTCTGGTGAACAGAAAAAACACTGTGAAATCCCACTTCATGAGAGATTGTAGCAAAGTAGAACATTCTTTCAAATAAAAAATCTCCAAATGGAATATTGGCAACTGTAGGGAATTTGACTGGCAATACCCAAGATGGTCTGATCATTAGCTTGGTCCTGTAACCACTTCCCTGGGGAGCCTCCTTCAGTGCCCAACCAACCTCTGGGTGAAGAGCCTTTTCCTAATATCCAAACTAAACCTCCCTTGACACAACTTCAGGCCATTCCCTTGGGTCCTGTCACAGGTTACCACAGAGAAGAGATCACTGTCTATCTATTCTCTTCCCCTCACAAGGATGTTGTAGACTGCAATGAGGTCTCCCCTCAGTCCCCTCATCTCCAGGCTGAACAGACCAAGTGACCTCAGCAACTTCTCATATGGCTTCTCCTCAAGGCCCTTCACCATCTTCGTTGCTCTCCTTTGGATGCCCTCTAACAGCTTAATATCTTTCCTGTGATGTGGTGCCCAAAACTGCACACAATATTCAAGGTGAGGCCGCCCCAGTGCAGAGCAGAGCAGGAAAATCCCCTCCCTCGACTGGCTGGTGATGATTTGCCTGATGCCCTCAGGACACGGTTGGCCACTGCTGACATCGAGCAGGACCCCCAGGTCCCTTTCAGCACTACTTTCCAGCATCTCATTCCTCAGTCCCTACGTACATCCAGGGTTGCCCCATCCCACATGCAGAATCCAGCACTTGCCCTTGTTCAGCTTCGTATGGTTGGTGATTGCCTAGTCCTCTAATTTATTGAGGTCCCTCTGCAGGGCCTCCCTGCCTTTGGGGAAGTCAACAGCTTCTCCCAGTTTTGCATCATCTGCAAACTTGCTTGGTATCCCTTCCAGTCCTGTGTCCAAGTCATTTATGAAGATGTTGAAGAGCACAGGGCCCAAGATGGAGCCCTGTGGAACCCCACAAGTGACAGGTCACCAGTCTGATGTCACCTCATTCACTATTACCCTCTGTGCTCAACTCATGAGCCAATTGCTCATCCACCACGTTTATCCAGCTGTGAGCTGGACATTTTATCCAGAAGGATCCTGTGAGAGACATATCAAAATCTTTACTGGAGTCCAGAAAGATTACATCAACTGGCTTCCCCGATCAACCAGGAAAGTTACCTTGTCATAGAAGGAAATCAGGTTTGATAAGCAGGACTTTCCTCTGATGAGGCTGTGCTGGTTGTGGCCAATGATTGTGTTGTATTTCAGGTGTTTTTCAGTACTTTACAAAATAATCTCCTCTGCAACCTTACCAGGCACTGAAGTGAGACTAATAGGCCTGTAGTTTCTGGGGTCCTCCTTCTTGTCCTTCTTGAAAGTCAGGACAACATTTCACCAGCTTCCAGTTGGCTGGGACCTCTCCTCCTCAAGGTATCAAATTCGGGATGCTAAAATTCTTCTGGACCAGCTGTGAACAAGAAAATTTTAGCTGGTAACAAAGGACTTCATTCCATGCAAGCCATTATTGTAAAAGATTAAACTCTCACCTGCTCTGTCACAGCAGGAGGATTCCAGCCTATTGCATTTCTTGCAGATTAAATCCAGTGATGAACCCAGAATACTCTGGCATATGAAAGCCTGTGAAAGGGAATGTTCTTGCTACTCCCTGGGATTGATGGTTTGGCAAGGAATAAATTCCCCTCCCAGGAAACAGGGGATTTTACTCTGCTGTCTTTACTTAGAAAGAAGCACAAAAAATGTTGAAGTTGCAGAGTAAATAAGAGATCGAAAGAGAAAGCCTGGGAGAAGGCACTACTTGGCTGGGATGTTGCAACAGTCAGAAGAGTGAGATAACAGGCATGTGGGTGTGCAGGTGGGTAGGCACATGCATATGCATGCTTATGTTACACATGTCTAGTTTCTTGACTTTATCCTCTTCACCTGGAAATAAGTCAGAGATTTTGCTTGTGCTTTATGCAAATATTTTGTCTGCTGTCTCATTGCCATCTAGCCTGTGTGAGCTTTTTTATGGCAATGTAGACCCAAGCAGGTATGATCAGGTCTTGTTCATGAATGTGTATGTCCAATGTGTTGTGCCACTAAACACCACCGCTGCCAACACAGTGAAGGGCAGTGGGTGCTGGACATGCAGTGGTTTCAGTGACAGTATCTGAAATGAGGGAAGATTAATTACTTCCACAGCTTGAAAATATTAGCTTAATTCTGAGGTGCTGTTGATTTGCCAGTGTAAGGGAGCTGTGCTCAGTCTGTGTATTATGACATAGTGTAGGGTGGAACAGTGCAAAGAAACAACATGGATGTTTCCTTCTGCACCCACCTGGGTCGTTTGTCATCTGGGGCTGGACTCTCAGAGCACTCAGCAGCATACCAGGAGGAAATGTCCCCAAGCAACAACCCCTTGCAAGCATGAAAAAGTGATTTGCAACTCTGAATGGGCAAACTTTAATCTGCTAGATAGACCCTTTCTGATCTGGTTGCTAGAGGTTATATTGCTTCTTTGTGGTCAGAAAGGACAGTCAGTATGTTACACTGTGGCTAGACACGGGAAACAGATATGTCTGTTTATGAGTATAGCTGCTCTGGCTCCCCACTAACAGATCTAGGTGGCCCTGCTTTTCCCAGGCAATTGCAAAAGGACAGGGACTGAGCACACCTTCCCATTCTGGGTATTTCTGAGGCCTTGGTTTTATTAGTAACGAGAAGAAAAAGCATGTTATCTTCTCAAATGACATAAAGCAATTGGGTTAGTTCGAAAAACGTTCAAACCTCTATCTTATCTCATCTTGCAGCTCTTTCTGCCCCTATTTTATTGTCTACTTCGTGCAGACAGAGTGGAATTAAAAGAGAAAAATAATTGATTAGTGTAATGATCTTACTTAAACTCAGGTGGCTGAGAGCTAAGTATGAACCTCTGCATTTGAAGTACTTGTGATTTTGTCTAGATCAAGTGGCAAGGGGCCGCTTCGGATCTGATGGACCAGGCTTTCATCACAGCATGTTTCATGGTGCAAATCAGTTTTGTGCCATTTATTCCTCTCTGCTCTAGAAGTTGGAGATCTGGTTCCATTCTCCTCAGGGACAGAGCTGAGGAATAAAGAAAGAAAAAAGTTGAAGACACAGCCACACTGAAGTCACTACACAGGGCTGGAATTCCATGCAGCTCTGCAATGGGTGCCACGAGCTCCCCTGCTGCAGTGTGGGTACTGAAGGCATCAGCCTCACTTGACACAAGCCATCTTCCATGTGATTTGGAAACACTGAGGTTCACTGGAACATGGTCCCTCTTGATCTCTGTGCAACTGGAATTGCCCCCACTGAGCCAAATTCATGTATGACGTTTAGTATTCAGATTGCCAGCACTGAGGTTACGTAAAAATCCTTTTCCATTAAGAGACAGAATTGCAGTTTTTGACCTTTTCTTTTCCTCAGAACAGCAAGCTGAGTTACTAATTTAAGTGCAAATATACATTATCCACTGCTAACTGGGGACTGAGACAAAGAAAGCAAATGTGAGAGGTAACCAGACCCTGTGTTCAGCAAGTGCAAAGCCACTCATTTCTCACAAATGAGGATGAACTTGCTTTTGATATTTGGATATTGAAAAGACTTTAGTACAATAAAGATTGTAAAAATTAATAATCTCAACCCTCTGGTACTGAGTTTACTTGCAATACTTCCTGGATTTTTTAGCCTGGCCATTATACATAGGATCAACGTGCTTTTTTCTTGAAGTATAGGCAAGCTCTTCTACTCTTTTATGAGCAGGCAGAGACAAATTTTAACAAACACAGTTGTCCGTTGAAGAGATTATTACAAATAGGCCTGGAGTCTTGTGACACAAGTAGCACAAGCAATGCAGTATTTGCAAATTACAAAAGAACCTCCCCTGCAAATTAGAAACAGATAATCATTTCTTCCACCATTTGTATTAAAGAAGATTCATTGTGCCACTTGCACGTGATGAAACAAATGATCTATAGACTGGGTCCAGGAAGCCTTTTTTTTTTTAGTCCTTTTCAGAGTGTTAACTTTTTACCATTTTATTTCATAAATTCTCCAGTACATATTAAATCTGATGAAGAGTATAATCAGCATTTCCAGAAGCCACAATTTTGAATACTCAACTTCTAGGTATACAGAGTCAGATTTTCAGAGGTAATTCTATTTTAACATGAGTCTGAACTTGAGCTTGACCACAAGATGCACAGTTGTGGACACCAGAAGATTTTGGAGAAGAGTGGATGAGAAAGAAGAGAAGAAGGTTAGAATCCTGCCATCTCTTGGCACAGCCTTAGGTGTGCTTCTGTCTGCTTTGATACCTAGCTGGAGTTTGATGAGTCTACCAGCCAATAACAAGAAAACGTCCCCCAAGTCCCTCTGGGAAGGGCTATGCCATAGGGGTAGTTGGGGTCTTGGTCAGCCCTGCGCCCTGTCCAGCAACGTAGGGCGGTCAGAACAAAAGGTGAAGAATGTGTTTGGCTTAAAAATGCTTCCTGGTGCACTTTCTTGAAGGAGTACAGGCATTTAAACTGACATCTAAATTTGGACATTCAGAGTCAGTCAGCACCTAGGTCCTGGGTATTTTTCTCACTTATACTTTTGATTGTTGAGTCCCTCCAAGATTTTCTTTGTTTTGTCATGTTGCTCTATCATCAACACTTTCATCCTGATGAGGGCTGTTGAGGAATGGGGATAGGATGGTCAGACTGACCACAGTGATGGCGCTTCAGTTCTACTGCAAGTGCCAGGAAATGGTCTCTCTTGCCATCTGGATGCCACCAATGTAATGCTGGTAGAGAAAAAGCAAAATAACTGTTTGCATAATAAAAGTAAATATTATACTCATTATTGCATAAGCAGTTGAGAATTAACTGTGCCACAAATGCAGAGATTAAGACTAGGCTGCTTTAAGGGATTTCTGGGACAGGCTTTAAGGGAAGCTAGTGGACTTCCTTCATCCTGGTGCAGAGATGGAGCAAATACCACTTGGGAGATGAAACCAACTCTGAGTAGACCAAACTCGAGCCACAAAGACACAGGAAAGCTCTCCAGGTTTGCTGATATAAGATAACTAGCAAAAGGAAATTCATTCGAATAAAGCACAGCTTTTTTTATCTCACTAAAATGTTTTTCTGTGTCCTTTCGAGGAGTGCAGTCAGCAGGCCTCCACTTCCAATGTGTTGTGGAGTGGACCAATTTTTTGATCTGAGCAGCAGGAGTCTAAATGCTCTCGATGTCTGTTTCAAATGAAATGTAATAGTCTTAAACATTTGACCAAATATTGAAACCAAAGGATAGACATTAATTTCCATTGGATACCTGTGTATGAGTGTTAGATGTCTTCACAACTCTAAAGAATGAACCAACAGATAATCAAGCAAAAACAGAAAAAAAAGTCAAGGTGAAAGTATGTTTAAATTCTCTTGGAATATTTTTATTTCAATGCCTCTACTGATTTTCCAGAGAGACTAGAAATTATTTAAGAATTCTTCATTTTGACAAGGCTGGATTGTCCTCTCAGCTCAGCTATGTTCTTTGTGGAAAAAAAAAAAGAGAGAGAGTAGGAGGGGATGTTTTAATGCTTTAGTGGACAAGAAGAGACTAGGTCAGCATGAGATTGGTGGTCTGTTTTACACTGTACTCTGAAGTATTCCTGTCCCCCTGTGATGGCTGCGCATTACTAAAATGAAGAGTCTGTGCTGGAGGGAAATCTTGTCCCTCAAGGATTCCATTTTACAGGAAAAGAAATTATTTTCCACATTGCTATTTCTGTCATCTAGATAGATAAACGAGGTGTTTTAAGTAGCTGTTTTTTACCCATAGCCCATTGCCCTCATGTTCCTCTAGACCTGGGAAAGCCCTGTTAATCTTTCTTCAAAAATTTTGTGGGTAATTATCTATTCCTCAGCGTTGTTGCCTTACATGTGCCACAACCAATCCAGAAGCAAAACCTCTGCACGAGAAGAAGTTTCAACACTTAGTCCTACCTTTTGTCCTTGCTCAACATCAAAACTCCAAAGGTTGTAATTTACTAATAAAAAATGAAGTTCTTTGAAATTTAATTTTGGAAATGCTAAGAATGCCTTTATATGAAATATGCTACTAGGAAAAGGCCCCAATGTCTTATTTTGATCAGGCCAAGACATCTTGGTCTGACTTTTTTATTGTTTAACTTTTACGTAAAAACATAACACAACATAAATCATATGGGTCTATCATGTAAAAGGCATAACTATTTTTCCATTAAAAACTATAAGCAGTGACCAAGTAATTTCTTTATTGTCTTTTTTATTTTATCAGATCAGTGTTTTCTGAAGGAAAAGAAAATCAACTGGAAAATTTGCAGCCAGCATCACTAGAAAAGATGTTTGTGCTGTCATGTCCATTTCCTTTGAGACCAGTGGTCTGGTTATTCATTGGCAGGGATGTATGACAACCAATATGCCCTTATGTAAGTCAACAATTCCAGCTATTTCAGAATCTGCAAACCTTATCTAGCATTGACATGAAATCCAAAGCTAACAGGAGCTTGTCAGAATATAAAACTGCACAGACTATGGTGACTATGATAAACATTGCTAGTGTGGCTTGTCCACAAAACTGGCTACAAAGGTTTTGCTAGATGGAGAAGCATGAAACAGCACAGCATATTGGAGCAAAGCTTCCTGGAGTGCCCGTCGTAGCCTGTGTGTTGGAAACCTCTCAGACACATCCAGATGGAGTGGTCAGCAAACCTTTGCCTACCCTTGGACAGCTTTACAGGGCTCCCTTTTGCCCTCCCTGGTTCTATGACAAAGTGTCAGTACTCTTCATTAGCTCCAGGTCTTAGACTGCAAGGTGGTAGATAACCAAACTGTGCCCTGTCAATGAACCACGAAATCAGAGAATCACAGAGTCACAGAATGGGTAAGATTGGAAGGGACCACAGTGGGTCATCTGCTCCTCCCTGCTACCACAGAACCCACTTGGTTTGGCTGCCCTTGTGCCAGGGAATGTGTGCATGAACCAAGAGCTTATAGTTGCTGACCTTTTGGTTTAAACTGAAACTCAACTTAGACCTATAAAATGTGTCTGCTAAAATACTGTTTCAATCAATGTAGATTGAGGTGTATTAAATAACATGGAAATAGTACATTTGCATCAGTTTCAACATCAAAGCAAGAAATTGGAAGAGCTCTCCCAGTAGAAAAACTCACTTTGAGGGAAATG